TGGGCAATTAGGGATGGGCAATAAATGCTGCCTAGCCAGCAACGCTCTCATCCCATGAATGAATAAAGAATAAAGGAAAAAATCTGTCCACACATTCCCTGTCTGTTCATGTGTCTGTCTAAATGCCTCTTAATTGTCCCTATCGTTTCTGCTTCTACCATCTCCACATCCTTCCTATAATGTAGTGACTGCACATAATCTTACGTGAAATCTCAATTTTTGCACAATTACAGGTTACTTCTAAATGCTGATGGTTTGAGTCTTCTGGGCATCCACTCAGGGGACAGACCTTATCCGCCTCACAGTTAACACTGGGTTTCTACACAAATTCCAATAAGTACCGGGTAAAAAAATAAATACAGGAAACACCGAAAAATTACAACATCTTAAAGAGAAAAGGGAACATAGGTGGAGATCACTGACAAAAACTACAGAGTTCCAAGAAGCTGGTGGGACATTTCCAGAGAGTTTGTTAATTTTCATCCATGTTTATCATGCCTACTAGTCATACTGAAAGATCATTCAAGACCCTGAATTTCAAATTGTTCCTTGTAGCATCAATATACAGGTGATAATTTCTTCTGACCCGTCCTGTCAGGCAGAAGATACAGAAGCCTGAACACACGCACCAAGAGGTTCAAGAACAGAGATAGCAGGAACTGCAGATGCTGGAGAATCTGAGATAACAAGGTGTAGATGGATGAACACAGCAGGCCAAGCAGCATCAGAGGAGCAGGAAGGCTGATGTTTCAGGCCTAGACCCTTCTTCAGAAATGTGCACCAAATTTTTTTCTTGGATTTGATGCCAACTTGTATGACATTTCTGAAGAAGGGTCTAGGCCCGAAACGTCAGCCTTCCTGCTCCAGGTTCAAGAACAGCTTCTTCCCTGCTGTTATTAGACTGCAGAACAGACCTCTCTAATTTCAAATCCAATGTTGATTTTGCTTTGTGCACGTATCCTGTATACTTTGCTCTGTCTAAGGATCCTATGATCCATATGTCCTTGTTTGATACAATCTGCCTGTACTGCTAGGAAAACAAAGCTTTTCACTGTACTTAGGTACATGTGACTACAATAAATCAAATCAAATCAAATAAAGGAAAAATTGCCATAGTCTCAGAGAACCACTCTCTCATTATAGAGAGACGACTGGTAGTGGTTTAACCTGAGGGTCACCACACGTGGGGGAAAAGGTTGAAAAGGAGAGTCTTTTTTGGTAAAATCAGCTGGTATGGGACTTTAACCCATCAGTCTGCATCACAAAATAGATATCCAGACAATTGAGCTAACCGATCCCCCAGCATCACGGTCCTCTAGATAGGAATACAAATTTTATTCCAATGAACAATAAATACATTTGAAATGTTTCTACTGGCTGATGAGAAGACTGCAGGTTGATCAGCGCAGAAAGGACAAGTCTATTGGACTGAACTGCATCTTAATCTTCCCAAACTATTACTATTTGTGAATTCTCCCTTTAAAAAATGTGCAAAAAATTAATTCTTGCATTTATTGAGCATCTGCCCCAGCAGAGTAAACAACATCACTTCTGATCACTTTTTCCCATTAACTGACTTCTCTCTCTGCAGAAATGCGCACCAAATTTTTTTCTTGGATTTGATGCCAACTTGTATGACATACTGTTGAATGAATGCAGAACGTAACAATGCTAAAATAAAAACAGCATTTGTTGCATGATCTCTTACCGCAACCCCAATGTATCACATTTCATAATCTTCTGAGAATTCTTATGAATTAATTTGAAGCACACTGTATAACAGGTGGTGTTTTCACATAAACTCAGTGAAACACTGGCCACTCCACTCATTCTCATTTAAATAAAATTTGTGTATTTTCAAAACTGGTAAAGCCTGAATTTCTTTCAGTACAATTCTTGTGGAATGGAAATTGGCCTGAGAAGGCTCCTGAGGCTGGGGGAAGTCAAGAGTGTTGTTGAATAATGCAATCCAAGATGCAAGAGTGTGTGCTGAGGTATGCATTGGGGCAGAAGCCACAAAAACGCAATGGGGAAAGTCCCTAGTCTAATATCTTTCAGGCACAGAGCACCCAAAGAGTGGAAATAGTGGAACCCCTTTGGCTTAGAGCCTGACAGAGCCATAGACTCAGAGCTGTTCAGCGTGCAACCAGACCCGTCATTCTAACTTGTCCATGCCGACCAGATATCCTAAATTAATCTAGTTCCATTTGCCAGCATTTGGCCCATATGCCCCTAAACACTTCCTATTCACGTATGCTTCCAGAAGCCTTTTAAATGTTGTAATTGTACCAGCCTCCAACACTTCCTCTGGCAGCTTATTCCATACACACACCACCCTCTGTGAAAATGTTGCCCCTCAAGTCCTTTTTAAATCTTTCCCCTCTCACCTCAAACCTAGGCCCTCTAGTTTTGGACTGCCGCACCCTGGGACAAAGACTTTGGCTATTTACCCAATCCATACCCCTCAGGATTTTATAAACCTCTATAAGGTCACCCCTCAACCTCCAACTCTCTAGGGAAAATTGCCCCACCCTATTCAGTCTCTCCTATAGCTCAAACCCTCCTGCCCTGGAAACATCCTTGTAAATCTTTTCTGCACACTTCAAGTTTAACAACATCTTTCCAAGAGCAGTGAGACCAGAATTGCACGCAATATTCCAAAAGTGGCCTGACCAATGTCCTGTACAGCCGTAACATGACATCCCAACTCTATACTCAATGCACTGATCAATAAATGACAGAGTATGCATACAGTAAATATCACATTGATTGCAAATGATTCAGAGTGCAGCATGGTGACTGGAGAAACATTGTTTTATTGCACACCCTCCAATGTCCAATTTGAAAAGTTGTGTCATTAGAGTCATAGAGCTGTACAGCATGGAAACAGACCCTTCAGTCCAACTCGTCCATGCTGACCAGATATCCGAAATTAATCTAGTCCCATTTGCCAGCGTTTGGCCCATATCCCTCTAAACCCTTCCTATTCACATACCCATCCAGATGCCTTTTAAATGTTGTGATTGTACCAGCCTCCACCACTTCCTCTGGCAGCTCATTCCATACACACACCACCCTCTGCATGAAAAAGTTGCCCCTTAGGTCCCTTTTAAATCTTTCCCCTCTCACCTTAAATGTATGCCCTCTAAGTTTTGGACTCCCCCACCATGGGGAAAGGACCTTAGTAACCTCAGCCTGTGTAGGAACTGAACCCATGCTGTTGCCATTATTAAGCATTGCAAACCAGCCATCTAACCAACTGAGCTAACTTATGTGCCAAAGATAGAAATGTGGAGTGAAGGTCCAGTATTAATGGAAAGGTAGAACAGACCTGAGGAGCTGATTGCACTTCTCTTTTTCCTACATTCCAATTCTTGTCTAACTACACAACAGTAAAAAATGGCAGCCAAGTCATTTCTTCCCTCCTTCGTCTGGAAGTTATTTGCACTGTACCCAACACCATCCCAGATGAAATTAGTTAAATCACGTACAGAGTAGGGATCAAGCACAGGATCTTCCTGGTATGTATGGCTCATTATCTAAGCCTATGCGGTGGATGGTGGCCTATTTATAGGTATAGCCATTTGGAGTCCACAGATGAAGTAATGCTCAATGCAAAGCTTTACAGAAATGTGCTTTTTTCAAAAGTAATATCACTATAGCGTTTGAGGTGATTGCTAATGTTAAGGGATATTTTTGTTGTATTCATGGGGCACAATTTTTAATGCTCCCAACTGATGAATAATGGCTTTAAAATAAGGCGAGTTGTTTACAGTCTCAGATCTTACTGCCAACCCAAGCCTAACTTGCTCTCAAACACTTGCATGGAGTAAAGCAAAGTCCTCACATTTCACATACAGAGCAGCATGGAGTAAGGGGTGCTTGCAAGTGAGATATTAAAGCAACTGATCATGCAGGCATGCCATAAGCAGAACAGACTGAGGAGACTGAAAGAGAAGCAACGCTCTACACCTTCCTGGAGATATGTAATTCCAATCAGGATGATAGTTATGTACGTAGTGTGAATAAAGAATTGATCAGAAGTGGGGATGTTTGGTGATGATTGCACAATGTCCAGTACCATTCGAGACACCTCAGACAGAGAAGCAGTCCATGTCCAAATGCAGCAAGATCTGGACAACATCCAGGTTTGAAATGATAGGGGGCAAATAACATTTCTGCCACACATGTGGCTGGGCAATGACTACCTTAAACAAGAGAGAATCTAACCATCACTCCTTGACATTCAATGACATTATCATTGCTGAATCCCCCACTATCAACATCTTGGAGTGTACCATTGACCAGAAACTGAACCAGGCTAAACATAAACCTGTGGCTTCAAGAACAGGTCAAGCATAGGAATTCTGTGGTGAGTAACTCACCTCCTGGACAAAACCTGCCCATCAAGGCACAAGTCAAGAGTGTTGTGGAATACTCCCCGCTTGTCTGGATGGGTGCAGTTCCAACAACACTCAAGACATTTGATAACATTCAAGACAATGCAGCTTCTGTGATTAGCACCACATCCACTCCCTCCACCAGCGACACTCACTGGCAGCAGCATGTACCATCTACAAGATGCATGGCAGAAATTCACCAAGGTTCCTTAGTCAGATTACCCATATCCCTCTTGCATCTACAAGTCGTGAAAAAAACAAAAGAACTGAAAAGAATTTGAGAACATATTTCTTAAAAATAAAAACCATTATGCCATCTTGGAACTTTAAGGGAAAAACCCGAAAGAATACTTTCTGCTTATGTCCCAAACACAGATGACATTTAATGATTAAAGTGAAATTGCTTTAGAAAGTTCTAACCCAGTTCATTATTAAAGATATAATACAGTGTGAAACTGAAAATACAAGTGAGAAACTATCCTTAAGTCATCTGGAAGGAATTCCAATTGCAAAAAGGTTTGATGCACATGTTTGCTTGTAGCAACGTGTAGTCAATAATCCCTTAACTTTAGCTTTGGATACACTCGTGGAAATTCTTACCTTGTAGCAGACTTCACAAAACAATAAACCCAACATCTGAAAGATGAAAAGGTCACCATGGTTAATCTCCAGTAAATGATAACCATAGCCTTGTTTAATGAACTTCCTCGACATTCTTGTGGGAAGCCATTATCAATGTAATGCAGAAATTACAAGATGACAGGTTTTAATTCTGGGATATGCTGTGCTTATTTGGTGCCTCAGTGAGAGATTCAAGTGGCTTCAACGTCCTGGTCATGGGAATGCACTGAACAATTTCCCTCCTCCTAACACTGTCCTGGGAAAATGCCTAGGTACAGACATTGGGTAATGATCTTGCTCAACTAGTAAAGTGATCACGCTCAACTACCCTCTCAATGCTGTCTAGTATGACCAATGTATTGGAGAACAGTTGGCCCTATGTAAACACTGATACCAGAGACAGAATTTGGGGATGAAAAATCTAAATGACATGTCCAACGTGGCCTTCTGTTTTAGGGCATATGACAGTGTTTAGGTACTTGCGCGTGCTGTGCTACATCATCTCCCCTGACTGATGGTGCCTCAAACTTCAGACAGCTGTTATCATCCCTCCCTATCTCTACAACTCTCCGAGCTCTCTGAATTCCTGAAATTCTAGCCTCTTTTGCATCACTTTGAATCATTTTGCCACTGGTGTCTTCAACTGACTGAGCCTCAAGCTCTGGCTTGAGCGGTTTTGGGCCCTGTATCTAGGGAAGAATGTGTTGCCATTGGAGGGGGTCCAGAGGAGGTTTACGAGAATGATCCCAGGGAGTTTAGAAGGATGAGGGGGAAATCTGACAGAAACATAATGACTACTGAGAGGCTTGGATAGAGTGGACATGGTGAGATGCTTCCACTAGTTGGAGACCAGGATACAAGGACACAGCCTCAAAGTGAAGGGACAACACTTTAGAACCGAGGAGGAATTTCTTCAGCCAGAGGGTGGTGAATACATGGAACTTATTGCCACAGAGGGCTGTGGAGGCCACGTTATTGAGTGTACTTAACACAGAGATAGATAGGTTCTTGATTAGTAAGGGGATCAAGGATATAGGGGAAAAGGTAGGAGAATGGGATTGAGAAACATATCAGCCATGGCAGAGCAGACTCGATGGGCCCAATGGCCTAATTCTGCTCCTCTACCTTATGATCTGGAAATGCCTCTTTAAGCCACTCAGCCACTGTTTCTTTCCTGTCCTTCAAGATGCACTTTCAAACTTACAGGGAGTATCTGTACAGTGTTGATTCATTAAAGTAGTTTCACTTTAAAGTTGTTATTAACATAGGGACAATAAGTGTTTAAAGTTGTGATTTTCGTTTTAAGGTAGTTTCATAGAGACTTCCTGTGTGGTCTGGCCACTGGAAAGCACTTTCCCCTTGCTTCCACTTCCACACCCAGTTTGCCCTGCCCCTCCCCTGAGTACCTCTTCACCCTGCCCCCATCCATTAAAATCTTAAACTTTAAAGATCTTACCTTTGGTATTGGCTTTCTCTGCTGCCTGACATTCTAAATTTGGAATGAAGCCCTGAGCTCCACCTAGTGATGAGAAAAGACCTGAAGTGTATGCTGTTTCTTTTATATTTATAACTTATTTTATATTTATAATTTATTTAATTTTGCAAGTCATTTCAGCTGGGAATACATATACAATATTTCCATCTGTACACTTTTTTTTTCTAAGCAATAATGTCTGCAGTAGCCTACTCTGGCTTTAACTGCGATTCCTGTTGCTTCACTTAGAGGAATTTCACCTAAAGTCACAATTTTCAGGAGCGGAGCTGCAACTTTAAGTGAGGACTTTCTGTTCCTCTTTGACCAAGCTTGTAATCATCTGCCTGACGTTAGGAAGTGGGAAACTGGCGTGATGTTGTTTTCTCCATCCCTTGTGGGACTGTACAACAGATTTTGTTCAATAATCCTTCTCTGGAGTGAGTTGCAATGTTTTGAAACATTAAAGGTGCAATAGCTGGAGGGCGACACAGTGGCACAGTATTCAGCACTGCTGCCTCACTGCACCAGGGACCTGGGTTCGATTCCAGCTTTGGGTGGCTGTCTGTGTGGAGTTCATTCCAGGTACTCTGGTTTCCTCCCACTGTTCAAAGAGGTGCAGGCTCGTTGGATTGGCCACGCTAAATTGCTCTGTAGTGTCCAGGGATGCACAGGGTAGGGGGGTTAGCCATGGAAAATGTGGGGTTACATGGATAAGGTAGGGGGATGTGTCTGCATGGAATGCTCTTCGGAGGGTCAGTGTGGACTCATTGGGCCAAATGACCTGCTTACACATTGTAGGGATTCTATGAAAAGCAAGGTTTTGGTGTTGTGGTTGAAGTGCTCTGGTGTCAGAATGGAATTCAGTGTGTAGGTGGGGAGTTCAAAATGTGATGATATGAATACATCAAGTAAAACTACAGAAATATTCAAAATTAAAAGCTTCCAGTTTATTGTGAAATCAGGAAGAGGAAATACCCTTACATGCTGTCAGGGATGAATTGAAGTTATCAAGATGGAAATCTTACCTGTGTGATATGTGGTTAAGAACATGTACACATTATTTCTTGCTGCTCCAGTTTCTACACACAAATTAGAGAGCTCGGTCTCTGCATGTCATATGATATAAAAGTAATCTGGTGCTTTGCATATTATTGCTAAACTCCACGTGCCTCGGGGACAGAGTATTACAGAGAAATTTAACCAGGCATTGTCAGCATCAGGGATACAAAATTTTTGATTCAGATGTTTCCATAAACTAGCAACAGTTTAGACAATGAAAGGCTGTAGTGGTGGTGTGTCTGTGGCAGATTTTTAGGAACAGGAATTTTTGAGCTATAGTTTATTAACTTTCCAGTGAATGGAAATGGGTGGTTCAAACATTGCGAGACAACAAGGTGCAGGGCTGGATGAACACAGCAGGCCAAGCAGCATCATAGGAGCAGAGAGGCTGACGTTTCGG